CTGCCAGTGACCTCCCCCCCCCCCTTGTGTCCCGATATTTTCTTCCTGTCATCTGGTCACCCTACAGCTCAGTGACCGTGAGTGAGGGTGGGGAAGAGCGAGCCACCAAGGGAGGGGGAATGTACTGAGTAGGGGGCGGAGTCTCAGGGAAGGGGCAGGGCTTGGGTGTTTGGTTTTGTGTGATTAGAACAGTAGACTCAAACTTTTTTGATCACGCACCCCTATCAGTAAAAAAAATTTTGAGCACGCACTCTCTGCCGCGCCGAAGCAAAAAACAAAAAAGCCGCTCAGACTCCCGCCTGACGAAGCAAAAAAAAGCGCTCCTCCTGCCGCACACCCCCAAGGATCCTCTTGCACACCCCCTGGGCTGCATGCACCACACTTTGGTGACCACTGGATTAGAAAATTGGCAACCCTAAGCATACATAGCTCCCTGGTCTTCAAACTGCACTCCCAGAGTGCACTGCTCGCCCCCCCCCCCGCCAGCTGCTGTCCCAGCATACACTGCTCCACCTCTTAGCCATGTTCCCAGCATGCACTGCCCCAATTCAGGGTGCAGTCCCATCATGCACTGCTCTCCCATTCAGGCTGCATTGCATCCCCTGCTGCCACTGCTGTCCCAGCATGCACCGTGACCCCTTAGCCACACTCGCACCTGCCCTCCGAACACGCCCTGCTCCATTCCAAACCCAACCCCAGTGGGTGCTACTAACCCCAGCGCAGTGACCCAGCACCTCCCTCACAGCCCACCCCTCCCTGCGCTGCCCGGCTAGCCCCGCCCCTTCAGCTGGGAGGGGTGACTTGAGCAGCCTCATTATGGTGCCCGAAAGGGGGGGTGGGGGGTAGAGCCTCGCTGTGGTCTCGCGCTGGCGGAGGGAGGAGTTTCGCAGTGGCTGCTCCGGAGCTCAAGGAGCCGCCTTCGCACTAAGGCCACGCGCTGGTTCAGCGCAAAGTTTGCTGGGTAACGGCTCGTGCCCAGTTCCCCTCAGCACGGCTGGGCCGGGGCCGTGGGGCGTAGCTTT